CTAAAACCACGCACGCTGCATGCTTGCGTCTTTCCTCCACCTCCCTGCCTACTCCACTTCACCCTTCTTGGCAGCACTTGGCTCGTGGACTCCTCCAGAGCTCCGTCCTCAGCACTCTTCTCCTTTATCAGTACTCATTCTCTGAGCAAACTCATCCAAACTCTGGCTTTAAATAACATCTGTAAGTTGATGACGCTCAAATTCATATCCTCCAACCCAAACTGTTCCCTGAAGTTCACAGATGTAGCTATGCACACATCTCCCACTCTGCCCTGCTCATGGGGCCTTTCTCGCTGTCCCTCAAACGTGTCAGGCATCTCCTGCCATACTGTGTTTACACTTGAGTTCCCTCTACTGGGACGATCTTCCTCTGAACAGTCCTGTGCCACTCCCCTTCACCAGTCAAGTCTCTGTTCACCTTACGCAGAGGACTTTCCAAGCCTTTTTTAAACAGCATCTCCTTACATCACTGCAGCATACTTACCACCAACTAAGGTTCTGCTATTTGCATATTCATTTGCTTTACTATCTCTCCTATTAAAGTAAAAGCCCCATCAAGATAGGGCATTTGCCTGTGTTGTTTATTGCCTGGCACAGAATGGGCACTAAAGCATTTGATTTTAAATGACTGTAAATAATTTTAAGGTATACTGAAGTTTTCTGTTATCTCTAAAAGGCAGGATTATGAGAATATTTCAATAGGCAAGTTATACATTTCAGAAATGTTTAAAATTTTTACAATCAACATGAACTACTCTGGTTATCAGGAAAAAAGAGCAAATAATAAGAATGTTAAAGTTTAACAATCATAAAAGGGAATCCAATTATATGACCTAAAACCATACAATTCTGGAAACTACTGGAAAAAGTTTTATAAATAGTTCCATAGGACCTAGACCAAGATAACAGAAAGATTTCTCCTTGGAAGCTGAGTGTAGCTGGCTAGTTGGGGCTGCTTGAAGCACTATATGGAAAGGGATTCTGAAGCTAAATAGGTTTTACCAGGAAGAAATACCATATTGAGGTATATTTTCCAGGAAAATAGAAGGGGTGGGAATGCTGGACAGATGAATGACATCCCCTGACTTTTAATTTTTTGTTGGGGGGGGGAGCTGGAAGCAGTGGCTCATGCCTATAATCGTAGCACTTTGAAAGGACAAGGCAGGAGAATTGCTTGAGGTTGGGAATTTGAGACCACCCAAGCAATAGCAAAACCCTCATCTTTCAGAAAAATAAGCTAGGCACAGTGGCGCACTCCTATAGTCCCAGCTACTTGGGAGGCTGGGGCAGGAGGATTTCTTGAGTCCAGGAGTGTGAGATCGCAGTGAGCTATGATGATAGCACTGCATTCTAGCTGGACAGCAGAGTAAGACTCTGTCTTGCCCCTCCACCCCCCAGCACATACACATACACACACACAAAATCTGTGGACTTTCAACCCTTTGTGTTCAGCTGACTGCTCCCAAGAATCCCATGTTTATATACTCTCCACCTACTTGAAATCTCCATATAAATGGCTGAGAGACTCAAACTTAAAACAAACAAAACAGAACTTCTCATCTGGAGTCCTCTTCAAGAGCAAACAAAAACATTCTTCTTCTCCCAGACTTGTCTCTTCCAATAATAACACCTTTGCTTACTTAGTTGCCCAGTAAAAAATCTAGGATTCATCCTTGATTCCCTTTTCACTCGGCCCTAACCCATACAGTCAGATCCACAAACAATGTTAGCTCTACCCCAAAGCATTTCCTAACCTTACCTGCTTCTACCCATTTCCAAGGTAAGTACCTTAAACCAAGTTGCCACCACAGCCTCTCACCTGGTCCACCTAACTTTCCGGCTGGACTGCCTGTTTGCACTCAGGCGCCTTTATAATCTATTACCCCAGAGCCACCAAAATTCTTTCTAAAAATAAAAACCAAATAACATCACATTCTTAAGATTTCCCATGACCCTTGGAATAAAATCCAAACTCCTAATCCTGGGTGATTTTCTGAGGCCTATTTCTCCAACCACTATCTATGGTGGATATAGATCCACTATTTGCCTCAAACCACTATCCTCTTACTTCCTACTCCTCACCATATTGACTTCCCTTCAGTGCCAAAGCTATACGCACAATAGTGCTTTTATACTGGTTAGTCTCTAGGCTAAAATACTCTTCCTCTGACAAGCTCTCCTGTGACATTTAGATCTCAGCTTAAAGGCCCCTCTTCAGAAGTCTTCCCTTACCACTCAATTCAAAGTGGCACCTCAGTCCCTATCACATAATCCTATCTTAATTCTCTGTAAATAATAAGCAACCATTTGATATCTGAGTGGGTTAGGTATTAAGTTGTTTGTTGTCTCTCCTATTATAATATGGAATCAAAGTAGTAGGGATCTTATCTTTTATACCACCCTGGTGAGAGAGCCTACTTAATAAATACTTGGTGACAATGATTTGTGCAGTTTTTAAAATATTTATTATATTCAGTAAATACAAAGTCTTCTTTGGGTTTGCTTATGTATTCATATTTATGGGGAAAAAATGAATGAGAACAGAACTAAGAATTGCTATCTGGGATTAGAGCAAGTAATTTTGAGTTGACAAAAATATGAATTTACTTTGATTCAAATTTGAAGTATACCAACTTTTCTGCCAAGCAGAATTAGGTGCTAACTTCAAAACAATGAAGAAAGGGTATCCCTTATGGTGCTTGAGAGAAACAATAAAACAGGCTATTTCAATATAGTAAATAAAAGCCATGCAAGGGAACTGTTCCAGAAGAAGTGCCTTTAAAATGGAACCTGATCTGAAGCCTAGTAATTGTGATACACACACATATGTGTTGGTGAGGAATGAATGGGGGTGTGGGGAAGACGGTATAAAGTGTACAAGTATTTCAAATAAAGGAAATATTAGCAAAGCCTCGGGAAACTAAAAGTAATTTACAATAGCTGGAGACCAAGTATTAAATTGAGAGTGCTGAGAGAGAGACTATAGAGGTCAAGAGGGCTAATATGAAGCCCTGTTAAAGAGTTTGTTCTTAATCCTGGGGGTAAGAGCCACTAAAGGATTTAAAGCAAAATAATTTTTATATATAACATGATTCTCATTAATGAAAGATAGTTTTAGCCAACGTAAAGAGTTTATATGGGGACAGAGAGATCAATTTAGAGATTGTTGTAGTTTTTCAGGCAAGACATAATGACAGAAATTAAAATACTAATAGTGGAGAGAAAGAAAAGTAAATATTAAGGTCCTACTCTAAGAATTATAATACTAACAAAATGAAATGAATGCTAAAAGTATGAATAAAGAGGCATATTTTTAACAGTGAACAAATCTATCAAAAGTTAAGTTTCATTGGAGGGATCACTTCTGAGGTTTATCTTACAGGGGTACAAGTGAATCTTTCTAAGAGTAGAATGTGAACGTTTTAAAACAATAACTGAGTAAACGACATGAAGGCTGTGTTGACCAGTTTGATGGAAGTATTTCAGATTGCATGTGAAAACCCCACACTGTACCCCAGAAGTGCATTAATGTATATAGTTACCAGTCAATAAAAAAAAAAAAAAGTTAAGTTTCATAGAATACAGGATATCTAAGCTGAACTTTCAAGTATGATACGATTTCCAAAGGAGAAAAGGCATTACAAACTTTATGAAAGATTTACATAGCACAGTTACTTCCTTGTACAAATAATTTTAAAAGATTACAAAATAATCTGCATGTTTCAGATGCATATTCATTTTTTAGAAATACAATTTTAAAATCTCTATTTATGACTAATTTTAACATTGTAATTTCATCATAATCTATTAAACCTATTGTAAGCAACTATGAGCTATAAAAAGCATCATAGTCTGACCTCTAGTGGGTCTTTATTATCATTACAAAATAGTTTTACTGACAGTAAAATCATACGGAAAAATTTTTCAAAATAGTTCAATCAAGACATGTGCAGCATTTATGTAAAATTTTAAATAAATGAAGACTTTAAAATAAAGGAATGAACTGGTCCTTTATTATTCTGATAAAGATTAAATTTTAAAAAGTATCTCAGGGTATGATAAACTTAGGACGTAATAACTATACAATCTACTTAAGCAAAAATTTACTGGGAATATATACACCTATACACACATATATATTTACCTATACTCTGGCATTCTGGTAGATAATAGAAAGATAAAGAGCTATGAGACAGATACTTCCTCGAGAATTTTATAATCAAGACAGGGAGACATATATAAATTTATTACAGTAAGTATTCTTATAAGAGTTCTATAATGATGTGATTTTATTTTTTTTTTTAGGTTAATGTGAAGGTACAAACAACTAGGTTACAATATTTTATAATTAAAAATAGTTTTAGTAGAAGAGACTTTGATACTCTTTTGCATTTAATAATGCAAGACAGATGTCAAAGTACTTATATTCTTTTCTTCTTTTTTTGAGACAGAGTCTTACGATGTCACCCTTGGTAGCGTGCTGTAGCGTCATAGCTCACAGCAACCTCAAACTCTTGGGCTTAAGTGATTCTCTTGCCTCAGACTCCCTAGTAGCTAAGACTACAGATGCCCACCACAACACTCAGCTATTTTCTGGTTGTGGTGGTTGTTGTTGTTTGGCAGGCCCAAGCTGGGCTCGAACCAGCCAACCTTTGTGTATGTGGCTGGTGCCCTCCTCACTGAGCTAGGGGCACCAAGCCTAAAGTACCAATATTCTAACTATAGTTAGTACATTTTACACTTCTAATATTTTACCTATGGATAGAGTGTTAGACTCAGGAAAATTACTAATGCTTTAAATTACGACAAACAGGTGTAATTTCCAAATATCAAATTCTAGGCAAAAAAAAAAAAAAATGGTAAACACATGAAAAAATATGAATCTGTATAGGAATTTCTGAAATGCCAAACAAAAACTAACATAATAATCTGTATTTCAGGCCTGTAACATATTTATCACCTATTTTCATCTTAATACTTGAAAGTAATATGATACTTACCTTATAACTATAAGCATGGCTATAAGGATTGAACAGATAGGATCTGCTATCATTAGACCAAAATTCTGCATCATGATGGCAGAGGCAATTACACCAATGCTTCCAAGTGTATCTGCTAGAATGTGTAAAAATACACCTAGAAATAAAGCATAATAAAAATCAAAATATTTTCTGCTTAATTTAAAATACAAATGTTTCTTAGAACTATATACTTAGTTTTGTATTAAAAACTAAAAAAATTACATTGAAAAATCAGTAAGTAGGTATATTTACTCTTTAGTACATATGAAATAGTACATTGATGAATTTGAATAATATTTTGTTTTTCAAATGAGCAGATGTTAAAATATTTGAGTAGGAAGTTATATTTGCACTTAATGATATAACATAAATTACAAAGTAGGAAAACAAATTGATTTTATAAACTATTTGCAAACACTCACCTCTGGCTGAAAGAGTCCAAAAGTTAATTAGCAGTTTGTTAGGGGAAGGAAAGTTCATTAGACTGAAATAACAGGTCAAGAAAACACTGCTAACTACAAATATATGTACATACAGAGCCCTCTACTGGTGATTAAAATTAATACCGTTTGGGACTAGAATTTTCTATGGACCATAAAACTCTATTCATTAATTATCTTAAGGGTTTTGTTTCCTAATTAGTAGAAATTATATGCTACACTCATACTCGATGTGAGAGAAAGCAGGGATTTGAATATTTTAAATATAAAACACATGTTGACCTTTTTAATAATTAAAGATTAAATTGGTAGGATACTGATACTCTAACTATGTAAGAACCTGGATGTGATATTAATATTTAAAAAATGACACTTGCTTGAAACATCATTAGAAGTGTCAAGAACTAAGTTTCATATAGAATATTTTCTGGAGAAACTCAACTAAGACAACAAATTTTTCTTTTTTTTTTTTTTGAGACAGAGCCTCAAGCTATTCCCCTGGGTAGAGTGCCGTGGCTTCACTGCTCACAGCAACCTCCAACTCCTGGGCTCAAGCGAGTCTCCTGCCTCAGCCTCCCAAGTAGCTGGGACCACAGGCACCTGCCACAGCGCCTGGCTATTTTTGGTTGCAGCCATTATTGTTGTTTGGCAGGCCCGGGCTGGATTCGAACCCACCACCTTAGGTGTATGTGGCTGGCACCTTAGCTGCTTGAGCCACAGGCGCTGAGCCAACAAATTTTTCAACATTTAAATCTTTAACAGGTAAAATTTACTATGCAGCAAAACAATGTCTCTTTAACTTTAACCAAGCCTGGTTAAAAATAGAACATTCTTCTATAACATCGACTATCCTATCTGAAAATAGTGTGTAAAAAGTATTTATGTACTTTAAAAACACTTATCTTTTTCTTTTTTAATGTTTACGAGCCAACCAAATCCTACATTCAAACTTCATCTACTATAGAATTTATATCAAGTATTATACCAAATACATAAATATCCCTCATTACCTATATATACTTTTTTATTTGCATAGAGTTTTGACTTATTATAATCATTCTTCAATAAGCTAATGGTTCTCTTAGGAAATACTTTCTCAAAACAAACAAACAAAAATTTGTCAGAGCATACTTAATACCTGGTTTGTCTAGGGTATTTCAAATAGCAAAGAATTAAATAGATTAATAATGTTGGGACCATTGTAACTTTTAAAAATAAACTGCAAAAAAAAATTATATCAAGGTAGATCGAAAGTCCCTAAACTACAAACTCTTATATGTGATATATGCTTTTAAACTTTTATATTCTTTAATCAGTATTTTCATAGAAACAGAAATGAAAATAGCTATAAACAGTGAAAGGAAAAAAAAGAATCACATATTCTTGATTTTCTTTAAGTTGGAAAGTCACTCATTACACATTATTTATCAACATGAAAACTGGTTTTAGTAGCAAGTGTCACTAACTATATAAGCCCTTTTTACTTTATAGTGACTGTTTAAGACAAAAGTTACTAAAGAAGGAAATAAAACTAATATGTTTAACTTATATAAAGTTTAAAGCCTTAGAAGACTTGATAGAATACTGATAATTAATTCCCCAAGAACTTAGTAAGCCAGGGGTCATACTCACAATGCAGCAAATAATTAAAAAATTCAGTTAACTCATAGTTTTTAATGTCTGAGTATCTACATAGTTATTCTGCAGGATGGTTTTACTACAAGGCAGTTATTTCCTTCCTTCAGATATTTAGTGGGCTGTTTCTGTCACCATAAATTGATGGATATTCAGAAAATATAAATTCATTTTCATAGGAAGGCAAATCCAAACTTCCTTTCCTCCAACTTGTGATGATTTGCAACACTTATTATTAAGCCTAATTAAGAGGGTTTGATATAGATGCATCAAATATGCATGATTATAAACTATTTCAGCAAATGATGTTCTAAAATAATTCTGAAGTCTGACAATTAAGTTCACAAGCTTGCCACTTGATAGCACTGTACAAACAACCCGGTAAGGTTTTATAACCTTGGTATATCAGTGTGTCATAGTTCATCTTGACATGTAGCAGAGTCTTGAGGAGTGGTGTCCATTATTGTTGTTGCAAGTTTTTGTGTAGCACCACAAGAATGTTAGTGTTTGAACTAGAGCAATGAACAAACATTTGTAAATTTCTTGTTAAACCTGGCAGGACTAAAAGTAAAATCACGAACACGTCAATCCAAGTTTCTGGGGTTGATGCCATGAAGAAAATGGTAGTGGACAAATTGATTAAATGTTTTTCTGAGGAAAGAGAAAGCATCACTGACGAAAAGAGGTCAGAGCAGCTGGTAACAAGCATAACTGACAAAAACATTGCAAAAATGCATCAAATTGTGTCAAAATTACTGTGAGAAGCATAGCAGACCAAGTGAACATTGATAGAGAAACAGGAAAATCTTGGCACAAGAAATATGTGGCTCTTGCATCATGACAATGCACCAACTCACATGGCACTATGAAGGAGTTATTAGCCAGTAAACAAATAACTATGTTGGAATACTCTTCTTACTTATCTGATCTGGCCCCCAATGATGCTTTTTTTTACCTGAAGATATAGGAAATAGTCAAGGAAGATATTCTGATGACATTCAGGATATCAAGAGTAATACAGAAACAGCTTTGATAGACATTCCAGAAAGAGTTCCAAAACTGCTTTTAAAGGTGGACTAGATGCTCATGTGGGTGCATGGCTTCCCAAAGGGAGTACTTTGAAGGTAACTGTAGTGACATTTAGCAATTAGGTATGTAGCACTTTTTCTAGGAAGAGTTCCCAAACTTAACTGTCAAATCTCACATGTACTTTATAATGGAAAATTAGCGACTGGAAGATACACTTGAGCCTTCTGAAAATAAATTCCTCAGTATGGAGGAATATATTCCCAGTGAAAAACCAAAAAGCAAGAGTAATATCAAGGAAGAGTTGAGAAAAATAGGTGCCACAGAAATTGGATCAGAAGCCACTGAGAAAATTAGACTGAAGTCAAGAGTTTATAAAGACAAGAAGACAGGGAGCTGAGACTTAGAAAACCATGACAATAAAGTCTAAGTGGAAACTCTGAATCAAAGATTGGTCTGCCTTCCAAAAAAGGAAATTACAATAGTTCAAAGACAGGATTGACTTTCTTATACAACTTTGTGATACACATCATATTATACAACATGTAAGCTTTTGTTCAGTATCACCTATTGATGCCTACAAATACAATAGAGTTTTCACTTTGTATCAAATTTTAGCTCTAAATTTTCTACAACATAAAACATATTATTATTCTTGGAAAAACTATGTAATCCTACAAAGCAAACATGTTACTACTACAGGCAATCCTCAACTTAATATGGATCCACTTTACAACTTTTTGACTTTATGACAGTGTGAACCCAATACGTGTTCAGTGGAAACTGCACTTTAATTCTGATATTTTCCCAAGCTAGTGATAATGTGGTATGGTACTGTCTTGTGATGCTGGGCAGCTGCAGCAAGCCACATCTCCCAGTCAGCCATGCAGTCACAAAGGAAAACAACCAATACTGTGCTCTACTGTATTCAATAAAGTGTATGAGATATTATTCAACACTTAATTATAAAATAGGCTTTGTATAAGCTGATACTGCCCCACTGCAGGCTAAAGTAAGTGTTCCAAGCACATTTAAAGGCGGCTAGGCTAAGCTATGATGTTTGTTAGGCTAAGTGTTAAATCCATTTTCAACTTCCGATATTTTTAATTTACCATCCATTGTAAGTCAAGAAGCATCTATACTATGTATAGCATTACTACAGTCACAGTAACTAAACCATGGGTATTACTTATATTTATGCAGTATAGTTTCTGAATATTTTGTGCTTCTTATTACCTCTAAGAAAATAGTCAAGTGATAACTAAAAGAACATCTGCTTATATATCTAACAATGCACATAAAGTAATCATTACATTAAAAAGGGTAACACTCTAAATGCAAATACTATGTGATGTATTTTTCTTAAAGAAAAACTTATGACAACTCAAAACTATGAAACCAACTTCATAAAAGCGAGAAGCATACAATTGCTTGTCATACCTTGTAAAATCTGTCTGCTGGGTCCTGCTGTTTCTTTTAGTGAAGGGCCATCTGTAGAGGATGAAGTTAAATTGTTTTACAATATGTTTTCAATTTCTGATTGCAATTTTTACAATTCAGAGTCCTTTTCATTCAAATGCATGACTTTATAGACACATCAGACCTAAAATTATTTTTAAAATTTAATGAAGTAAATGAGTGGAAGTAAAGAAAATAAAAATCATAGGAAATTAAAAACACTGTGAAAACCTTCTAATACTCATAAGATATTTTCTAGTATTTTACAGTTGGAAAATTCAGAGAAAACCAAATGTATGCTTGAAATTATAAAAGGTCCAGGATAGGATCCAGGATGACTTGACTATGGCAAACAGTAGTTCTTCAATAGCTTCTACATTGAAGTAGCCGGCTTTGCAGACAGAAGCAACAAAAACATTTTTTTCCATTTTGCCTTTATGATGAAAAGATTTTTTAAAAAACCTATAATTTCTATATTTTAAAACTTTGAAGATTACTAAAGCAGAAAATATAGGTAAGTAAGGCAAAATTATGATAAGCAACATCGGTTAAAGGGTTCATCAGGAAAACTTACCAGCTTTCTGATCCCCACTAACCGAGAACCTGTCTACAGTCCTTTGTTCTTGGCCACAGCACTGAAAGATCTACACACCCTCATCCCCACTGGCTCTGATACTCTGCAACAATATAAAGTGCAGGCAGAAGGCTGCACAATATTTTCTGTCTAAACATGGTACCTCTAAGTCAGAAGGAAGATGTAGCTACTCTGAAAATCCCACCAATAGTCAAAAGTATGAGGGATATATAGCTTTTCAAAATTATTTGGGGGGTGCATGTGAGCAAAGAAGTTGGAAAGCAAGGTTTTAAAGTATACCGGTGTAATTATAACAAAAAATTCAGAAGATTTTAGAGACTGACATAGGCAATGAACAAAAATAGACAAGTGGAGTTTCATCAATTAAAAAACTCCTTCAAAGAAAAGGAAACAAACAAACAAAAAATAAAATGGTACCCTACAGAATGGAAGAAGATATTTGCAAACAATATATCTGATAAAGGGTTAATATTCAAAATAGATACAACAGATACAGAACTCCTACAAAAAAAAAAAAAAAAAAAAACCCTGATCAAAAAAACAGACATTTCTCCAAAGAAGACATATGAATGGCCAACAGTTCTATGAAAAGGTGCTCAACAGCACCAGTTATCAGGGAAATATAAATGCCAATGAGAATCCTGAGATATCAAGTCTCACTCATCAACATACCTATTATTAAGAAAACAAAAGACAACAGGTATTGGCAAAGACGTATACAAAAGGAAACCCTTTTACTCTACCCGTGGGAATGTAAATTGGTGCAAATAATATGGAGGCTCCTCTGAAACTTTACAACAGAACCACACATAATCCAATGATCGCACTTCTGGATATATATCCATGGGTATCGAAATCAGGATCTCAAAGAGGTATCTGTACCTCCATGTTCACTGCAGCATCATTCTCAATAGCTAAGACATGGCAGCGACCTAAATGCCCAGCAATGGATAAAGGGATAAAGCAAATGTGGCATATACGCACAACAGACTATTGTTTACCTTTCAAAAACAAGTTCCACCATTCCGTAGGACAAAAATGAAATTGAAGGACAGTCTACTATGTGAAATAAGCCAGACACAGAAGAATACTACATGATTCCATTTATAGGACGGATCTAAAATAGACACAGAGAGTAGAATGGTGGCTGCCAGGAGCTAGAGCGGGGTGGAAATGGGGAAAGGCTATAAAGTTTCAGTTATGCAGGAGAAATGAGTCCTAGGGCTCTTTATAGCATAGGCATAGTTACCACTGTATTATATACTTAAAAGTTTTCCTAGAGAAGAATAAGAATAAATAGCGCAGGAGGAAACTTTTGATGGTAATGGGTATGTTTTGGCATAAATTGTGGTGACGGTTTCATGGCTGTATACTTATCTCTAAACTCATCAAGTTGTACAGATTCAGTATATACAGCTTTTTATATAAATAAATGCTCAATAAAGTGGTCAAAAATTTTTAAAGATTAAAAACTAGGGACAGAGAATGCTCACTTTCCAAGGCCCCTTTCACACTTCCAAATCTAAAGCTTTAGGAGTCTATGTGGCAAATATAGATAATATTTGAGCATACACTCTAAAGAGTAATCAAATTGTGTTACCTAAGCAGCTTCTATTAATTTATACTTGATAAACTATTTTAAATATAATTTAAGATAAAATATTAAGTTGGTAAATACTTAATGCTATAAATGCTAGGATATAGAAATTTCTAAAGAAATATGAAGGTAAACATTAGGGGATAAACATCAAAAATTATAATAAAAATGTAAAAAGTTGAAAACTATTTTTACAAGCCTTTTTATATAGTACATAAGCCCTCCTCATATTTAAAAAGTTATAATTTTGATTTGCTAAATTGAAATTATTCCTCATTCACTGACACTCACTTAAAGTAAGGGCTTTTTATTATATACTCACTTAAAAAAAAAAGAAAAAAACAACATCCTGTAGGAGGCACCTAACACAGCCACACACAAACCCTTTCCTCTCCCACCCATTTCCTTCTAAGAGAAAGACACAAAGGATCTGGGTAGCCTCACCCACTGAGAAGTTCACAGGGAAGACCCTAACTCTCCGAACAAGCTGTGGAATGTGCCCACCTCCCTACTGCCCCATATAAGAGGTTCGCTAACCCTCTTCCCCCCCGACTCACATACCACCTTTGCACTGCCAGGCAGGTTACCCCTCCCCTTTCAAGAAACCTGCGAACTTCTCTGCAGCCTGGTTTCTGGGCACTTTCATTTACACCTTTTAGATAGTGCGGAAACTCAGGACTGGAGGCTACTGGTGGCTGGTTGCTGGCCTTCCCATCACCCCAGTTGTGCCTAGACCCGACTCTGCGACCCACCTGTCTGTCAGAGAGTCCTAGAAGATTTCACCCTAACTGCCATTTAAATGTAAGGTCTCTATAACTGAACCCCCCTGCTCACTCTGTCTCCCTCCCAGCCTCTGTGTCCTCACACCCTCTCCCTTCTTCATTCACTCAGGCCTAATTAGAGGGTTCAGTCCTAGCTCTGTGCTCTCTTCCAGGGTTTAGGACCTCATATTCTTTCAGTTTTGATTTTTTGATTTAAGCCCAGTGTTGGACCCTCTTTTAGGCTTTTTAGGGTCTGGGGGCCTTAAGTTCTCTGAGAAAAAATAGGAATGCCTGACCTTTTTCAGTCTTTCTTTGTTTTTACTCCTAGTTCTTGGGAAACAAGGGATGCCTTCTTACCCCCCCCCCCCAAGTAGGGGAAGGACATCTGAGACATGGGAACTGGCCCTTCCACTCCCCTCAACAGAGACACCCCAGGGGTATCTCCTTCAACCTCAATACAAATTAGAAAACAAGATCTTAAAAATCCTTAATAAACTTAAATAAAATTTCTCCAAAAATACAACTGGCAGAGGGAATGAAATCCCCCATCTTCAGCCCTTACTCTCCCTGTGCTCTTACCCTCCCTGTACAAATCTTCACTCCAACACCTTCCCCTCCACCTTCACCAGTCTTCCTTCCCATTTTCCCTCCTCCAGGGATTTCTCCAGCTCCTATGATTCTTCCACCTCCTAACCTCCCCTAGAGCCTCAAGGCCCTCCGCTCTCCCCGCAGGCTGCAGACTCCAAGACTTCTCACGGCTCTCACCCACTTAAAACAGCCGCATCACCCTCTCCCCAGCCCAGGCAGGACTGTCATGATGCAGAGCTGCCAGGCAGTGCGGTCTGCCAGCTCCCACAGCTCCCACAGCAGTGGTGGGAAGCCATGCATGCTCCCACAGCCAACACAAGCACGGGCGTGGGCCCCAGCCACTGCCTTGCCCCCTACCCATCACCTGCTTCTCTCTGCCCCACCAACTTCCCCCTACCCATCAGCTCTATATGGAGGACAGAGAAAAGAGAGAAAACAAGACTAAAAGGTTTTTTCAGTAGGGGCTGACATTATAAAACTCCAGAGATAGTTACTCAAAAGACTCAAGTGAGAAGACCACGCCGTTCTATAGAATAGACCTTGCCCACTACTATGACTGGAGTCCCTAAAAGATGCCTCATAAGGCTTCTTTCACTCGAACCCTGAAATTGTGAGTTTTCAACAAAGAAGAAAAGCACTAGAAGGGACAGCATAATCACCTCAAAATAGATTACATTCACGTTCTGGAACCAGTGGTCCCCTAAATCGACATGGGAATGGCTTTCAACTGACATGTCTGACTCAAAAATGGGCTCAACTTTATCACACCAAGACGGCCTTAAGTAACTTATTCTCTAACACAGGTAAGTAAATTAATTCTAGTTATATTGAAGCCACATTCTCTAGTCTTCCTAAATGTTAAAGACCTATTTCACTCTCCTATCTCCATCATTAAAAAAAATAAAATGCAGCCCCCTCTCCATATTCCACAGTTTCTCAGTTCTCTGGAAGGTAAACTTATCTTGTTCGTCCTTTTATTACTTTCCAGTTGCCCCCACCAACCATCTTAGAGGCTTAGGTTTAATCATGGCAGAGGAAAGGGGGCCTTTACACTTTTCACAGGACACATGCTCTTTCTACACCAACAAGTCTGGTCTACTTCCAGAGGGCATCACTCTGCTCTGAGAATAAGCTACCACCTATGCCCTCAAAATGGGGGACCCTAGCTCTATGGGACTCTGGATCTTACCCCTGTTGAGCACCCTTGCTGCAATCCTCCTGTTATTAACCATTGCCACTTATGTCAACCAATTCTTGTCCTCATTTATTCAAGACAAGGTAAAAAAGGTGTCAGCAGCAGTTGCAACCCAATTTCTATCAGTCCCAAACCCTCTCCCAATATACCCCACACTCACACAGCCCTAACAACACCTGACTCATCCCAGTGAGGACAACGATGGCCCTCTCCAGCCAGAGAAATTTCAAAACACAGACTATTGTCCCCATCACCCCTTTTAAGAAGAGTCAGAAATGTTGGGGGGACTAACGCAGCCACACACAAACCCTTTCCCCTTCTGCCCCCTTCCTCCTAAGAGAAAGACACAAAGGATCTGCCTAGCTCTACCCCCTGAGAAGTTGGCACTAAAAGACCCTAACTCTACAATCAAGCCTTGTAATGTACCCATCTCCTATAGCCCCATATAAAAGGGGTCTTGAACTGACCCCCTGGTGCAGATGCCACCTTTGCACTGCCCAGCCAGGTCATTCCCTTTCAGTAAACCTGGCATGAACATTTCCTTTGCAGCTTCATCTCTGCGTGCCATAATTTACACCTTTCCTATCCATTGCTTTATAATGAGTTAATCTCATGATATGTAAAACAAAGTGGCCCTGGGAAACATTTAGACAGACTCATTAGAAATCTGACTGCAATGTCATTTTAATAAACTATTTCAACTAGGAAACATAATCTATACAATTCCTGTTCATTTAGAGGCTGTCCATTGGAAAGTCTGTAGACTGTACTCACCATGAGAATGAAAGTGTCCGTGTCCGTGTCCGTGTCCGTGAGCATGATCGTGGCTGTGTGCAGCATCGTGTTTCACTTCATGACTATGGCAATGATCTACATGGCCATGTGTCTGATCGAGAGCACCATTAAAGAGGGAATGACTGTGTCCATGGCCTACAAAGTGAAATGTTAGAGCACAAGGTATATAATCATATATAAATAGTTATAGTAATACTGATACAAGTGAAAAGAATCAGCTCTAAACTCAGATTCAATTGAATAAACATCTACTTGTAAACAGTGCTACAGATTCATCAAAACTATCTGGGTTCTTGCTGTGGAGTACAAGAAGAAAATGAAAGCCTAGAGCAGTGGTTCTCAATCTTCCAAATGCCTCCTAATGCTGTGACCCTTTAATACAGTTCCTCATGTTGTGGTGACCCCCAACTATAAAATTATTTTTGTTCTACTTCATAACTATAATTTTGCTACTGTTATGAATCGTAATGTAAATATCTGATATGCAGGACGTATTTTCATTGTTACAAAGGAGTTGCGACCCATAGGTTGAAAACTGCTGGCGAGAGGAAAGTGACAGATCTTACTGGAATGAAAATAAGTACTGATTGGAACTGTACAGGAATATTTAAAGAGATTAGATAATGTTATTCATTTATTCAAGAAATATTTACTTATCTATTCATGCATTCAAGAAATATTTACTTATCAAATACGCTGTGTTAGAGGCACTCGGGATAAAGCAGTTACAACATAGACAAAATGCTTGGCCAAAATTTTGCAAAGATAATTATACACACTAACGAAGATTAAACAAGATTTATGCACAGGGTCACATTGAGGCAGAAGCAGGGAAGCTGTTGCATTTTGGTAAAAAAAAAAAAAAATCATTAAAATCACATTAAAACAGATAGAAAAATCCAAACACAAAAAATACAGGTTCCTCTTTGTAGCACACCTAAAAACAACTGAACCATCAAAACACAGGCTAGACGAGCTATTCTAAAGTGTGCACACACACAAAGACTGGATGTTACTCATTTGAAAATATCACTTAGGTTTGCAAAAATTCTAAAAACCAGTAAGTCAAATCTAGTCCCACATTATATGAAAAAAACATGACTATGGGAAGATCATCTTCCAGAATGGTAGAGAGAACCTCATTGAGCTACCTCTCTTTTAAAACAATAAAGCCCCAGGAACTATAACTAAAAACCATTTCAAAACTGACAACTATTCAAAGCCACAGAACGAACTGAAAGTTATCTACCCAAGACAAACTACACAATGTCTTTAAGACAGGTGAGTCTAAAACATTTTAACTTGGAGCTATTTCCATTCCACCTCCCTTCCCAGCCCTTGGACAAAACAGCCAAAAGCCAGGACTGCAGACAACGGAGAAGTCTCTTTTCAGGTTTTGGTAAAAGCACCATCTTCTCAGTGCTGCCAATATTTTGTCCAAACTTGTCGTTCCCTCTATTCTCAGGGACATGAAATCAGCTCAGCCTGGCAAAGTGATGGTAGAAGCAATGGCCACAACAATGGTAATTCCTAGCAGTATCTCAGCTGCAGAATGCTATAATTTCATTTAGGGCAAACAAGAGCCTAGCTGAGAATTAAAAGGAAATTCTGGAGAACCAGATGACTATAAGGAACTTAGAAAATTGCCAGTGTATTCCTGGGGATCTAAAAGGTCGCATGCACCTTGTGTACAAGCCCAAGAAAGACCTGAGAAAAGAGAAATCACCAGTCACTCATTTCTCATCAACTTGGATGTCCTACATGAGCAGGCAGTGAATGACAGCTAAGACTGTCTTCTAAACTGCCAGTTTAACGGTGCGCGTTCTCACAAAGATCCCTCCAGCAAAAGTGGAAGACTAAAAGCAAGGCATTAAATCTTCTGACTAATCATTGGCTAGCCACTTCATTATACCAGTCCACGTGTAACTCCTAGAAAGATAGGTTAAAATTAAAGTAAGAACTTAAAAGAGCTAGCAGAGAACTCCATGGCTATATGCTGCAAGAAACACGTAACTTACTAAATTGGTACAGGAAAGACTCACAGGAAGAAAAGCAACACACACACATACATACACACACAAAAAATGCACAAGAACAATAAATTTTAGAGGGGTGATATAATCTGATACCAGAATTGTTATCATGTATTATCTAAACCATTCAGTTTTCATCCAAAAATTCCAAGACATACAAAGAAGCAGGTAAATATGCCAAATGCAAAGGAAAATACAGCTAACAGAAAATGTCTATTTTGGATTTAGTAAGAAAAAACTTTCAATCAGCTATTATAAGTATGTTCAAATAACTAAAGGAAACCATATCTAAAGAATGAAGTATTATAACAATGAGTCACCAGAGAATGTCAATAAATAGATGAAAATATTAATCTACACGTTCAAGAAACTCATCAAACTCCAATGTAGAATAAACTCAAGCAAAACCCTATCTAGAGACATCATAATCAAGATGATGAAAATCAAACACAAAGAGAAAATCTTAAAAGTTGTACAGCCAGAGAAAAATAACTTAGGAGTAAGGGCACGTCAATAAGATGAATAGCTGACTTCTAAAAGAAACCACAGCAACCAAAATAGAGTAGAATGATATCAAAATGCTGGGAAAAAAGACTCAATCGAGAACTTTATATTCAACTAAACCATCCTTTAACATAAAGGAGAAATTAAGACATTTCCAGATTAATGAACATCTGCCCTCCAAAAATATTTAAAAGACTTTCTAGCCAAAATAAAAGGACACTAGATAATACCTCAAATCCAAACAAAGAAAAAAAGAATAGTGGTAAAGGTATTAAAAAAGAGGATATACATACTTATGTTTGTAACTATTTTAATCTCTTCTAAGAGGCAATTATATAAATCAATAATTATAACCCTATATGGGTAGGCTTATGTAAGCATGTGATTTGATATTAGCAGTACCTTAGAGGAAAAAGGGAACAGTAGTAGGTTGGGGCAAAGTTTTGCATATTATTGAATTAAATTACTATTAATATGAACTAGATTGTTTTAAGATCCTATTTATAATCCCAGGGGAACCTTTAAGAAAATGAAAAGCAGATTAATAAAGTGATTGAAAAATGGCTTATTCATACTGAGGGAAAAAGACAAATTAAGCCTAATTCATCCCACTGCAAAAATAAATTACATAGAGATGAAGAACCAAAATGGGTAAGAGAAAAATGTTAAACCAAAAGTTTAAAAGCATTAAAATACAAGAGATTATGCTTATGACCCTGGAATAGTAAATTCCTTAAACAAAGCAAAAAATATACCAGGAAAATTACAGGACAAAAAAGAGACAAAAAAACAGAACATGCAAATTAAAATCCTCTACATAAATAGCATAAAGACAAGCTATAGACTGGGAAAAGATATTTGCAACACACAAAATGAAAGATTAGCATATAAAATGTATAAATGATTATAAATGGATTAAAAATAAGATAATAGACAAAAAAATAAGCTAATAGAACAATATGAAAACATATGAACAGGTAATTAATTCTAGGAGAAGAAAAAAAATGCCAGAAATTCAACTTCACTACTAATCAGACAAATACCAAATAGAATGAGATATCATTTTTATCAAATTACTAGCAAAACTGTTTTTAGCCCACAATACTAAGTGTTGATGGTCATCCTGGAGGGCAATTTGCAAAAGCCTACTGAAACTAAAAATGTATATATTCTGTGTTCCAGGAATTCTACTTATATTCTAGTACAGTGCAATTCAAAGAACTTTCTCCTAGGCGTGGTGGCTCACACCTGTAATCCTAGCACTTTGGGAGGCTGAGATGGGCAGATCACTTGAGGTCAGGAGTTTAAGAAAAGGCTGAGCAAGAATGAGATCCCATCCTTAAAAAAAAAAAAAAAAAAAAAAGCTGGGTGCTGTGGTGAGCATATGTAGTCCCGGCTACAAGGAAGGCTGAGGCAGGAGGAGCTTTTGAGCCCAAGAGTTTGAGGTTGCTATGAGCTGCGATGCCACACACAGTACTCTACTGAGAGCAACAAAGTGAGACTGTTTCAAAAAAAAGAACTTTCTGTGAAGACAGAAATGTTTTATACCTGTACTGTCCAATACAATAAATAGCTCCAACAGGGCTACTGAGCATTTGAAATGTCATTAGTCTGACTGATGAACCAAATTTTTTAATTTCACTTTAATTAACAAAAATTTAAATTTAAAAAGTCAGATGTGACTAATACATACCATATAGGGTAGAAACAGCTCTGCAACAACACAAGGATAGGCTTTATATGAATTAGCAAAAAAACAGAAACACTTGAGGTCTATCCCCCCAACACTGGTTAAGTAAGCCACAGGTCTGGAGTTTTATGCATGGTTATTAACAAGGTAGACTAATTTATACCAAATGAAAGGATCTCAAAGACATGTTATACAATGAATATAATTAGAGAGTAAATTTCATACACATCCAGAGAAAATTTTCTAATGTGTTTTTTATCTAATATTTACTTGTTTGTCTTATATAAATGGTATCATACTAAACAGACAAACTACAGAGGTCTGGAGGAGCCACACCAAACTGGTAACATGCACAGTTCTGAGAAAGCACTGGGATGGCTGGTCATGGGGAAGTGGAAAGGATGCTTCAGGAAGACATCAGCAAGAGTCTACAGACGTATCGTTACTTTTGTTAAATCAATATAGAGTTTAACATTAAAAATTAATTCTTTTCTAAAGTAAATATAACAGAAACTTGGTAGAAAATAAAGAAACAAAGGGTTCTAACCATCATACCAGAGCCATGAGAATGTCCATGACCTCCATGCTTGAAAACAAATATTCCTATTAGGTTTACCACAAACCCAAGAATTGAAACAAGCAGTAGTCTCTCATGGTGTACATCTGGAGGGGCTAATGCTCTCTAGAAAACATACAATACAAACAGACAGCACTGATTCAATTTCTGATTGATCAACTGGCAAAAACATAAGGCAATATTAAACATTTTGTTATTTTTAGAATTGAAAGCACCCAAAAAGTATCTACCAAAACAGTTTATAGAAATAAAACCAGCACTCATATACTGCAGAAAAGGTAACAATTATGTGATATTTTAAAATACAGACATTTAAAAATATGAATATTTGATCTAAGACCTGTTCCTTTTTGATATCTTAAAACAGTGCCTTTCATTTTAAGTTCAATATCTTTAAATTTTCCTCCTTTAGAAGAATATATATACCAAATCTTAACGATGCATTGGCAAAACTCTGAGGTTCTATTTTCTCTCAAGAGTAGGTCCCAACTGACTTCACTATCCAGATTGCACCTTTACTTTTCATAGCATTAACACTTCATCCATGGATTATAAAGCATCACAGTTTAATTATTCTCAATTCCAAGAAGTTTCACATATATTTAATTTTTTCAACTATTTTGTACGCTCCTCTTACACATACGACATCAAATCCAAGACCTTCCTCAATAAATACTTAATGACAGTTGAAAACAGTGCTATTAAATGTATCCTTAATGAAGAAATATTTTAATTCCAGAAATGTAACTTAAAACATTATCTACTATACCTCAACTCCTTCTGAGAAAATAAAAAAAGCAGTGAAGATCAAAAATAGCCCATTGACAAAGCCAGCCAGAACTTCTGCTCTAACATACCTAAAGAATAGAATAAACAACTGAATTATTAACTTACTTCTTAAAAATTAAATAAATTTACATATGTTTAGAGGTTCTAAACCATTTTATATAGTTGTAAGAAGCCAGCAAAGTCCCTGTACTCATAATACATTTTATTTTACAAATATTATAGAAATCAATAAGGAAACACATTTTATTATGAATAACGTTTAATCACAGAATGTCACATAACACATACATGTCTAGAAAACAATCAAAAGACCTTCTTAAAGTAAGTAGGTTTAGAAAGACCTTTTACAGAAACTTAAATCTCAAGTTGCCACTGGAGAAGGAAGAACCAGACAAAAGGACAAAGGAAGAATCCAAAGATAAAAAGTAGAATAGGTCTAGCAAAGGGGGATTTTAGAACCTATTAATTCCTCCTTTTTGAAGAAGTCCTTAAGTTTTCTGCTTTGTACCTTTCAGCTTTCAAATTTAGAAAAGTGGAGCTTTGATTTGAAGGAAAATAAAATTATTTCTGAATTAGCCCACAGACAACTTGAAATTTATATTTCTAACATTCCTGACTCAGATTAATAAAATTTAGCGTAAACTTTCAATGACCTACTTTTAGAATCAATTCTAGCTTCACATAATTCTAATTAAACTATTTTTAAAATACCTGTCTTTTGCTCCATGGACTTCTGAAGCTTTCTGCTTCCTACCTGTGTGAAGCATTGGGGAAAAATTTTATTTTTCCATAAGGCATATTTGGCTTAGTTAAAGTCATCAGAAACAACTTTAACTTAGCATTTTTACATCTTGAAACATTATTCAAAGGGTGATAACAGCAGTAATCTGTCTGGTCTTTCAACAACACAATGGGAACATAAACGACTCCTTTTCCTAGCTTCTATGTTAACTTCTAGATAATACAATTTTTACTGCAAAAATAGTTTAAAGAGAGCTCTTTAAAATGTACTCTACCAAGTAATGTTGGAATTTGTCCTCTCAAGTACATTCCAGCATCGCACGTATTTCTATACTCAAAATATAAATATTTCTAACTTTCTACCATCTAACACATAAAATAAATTATAATTCATTAAAGTATATTTTCTTTTTTCTGGAGAAAAGCTCATTATACTAAAATAATTTGCAGCCAGCTTTCCATAACTTACACCTAAGAATTTATCTAATAAATCAGCAAGGTTACGGTCTAAAAAATAAAAATCATTTCCTTTTAACCCACCTTTCCAGTCTCATAGCTAAGGTCTGATTGAAAGCCTTTTGTGCTTGAGTTCTACTAGATTTCAAGATCAAAGGCAAGAAAGTTTTTTAGGCCCCTTTTTGTTTCTAATTCCTAGCTTAGTTGGTATATGCCACAAAAATCTAATAAATTGTTGGACTCAAGTGATTTAACAGGCTCTAATATATTTGCCAAGCTTGGATACAGGTTTAAAATGAAAAATTTGTGAAAATCAGACACACTTGCCTTTACAAATGGGTATGTTTACTTGAATAGAGTGAATAAGTCTTGGAATTATAACATTTAATTCATGAGTATACTGCTAGCTAATTTAAGCATAGCTACTATTTGGATTCTCTAGCCAGGAAACATAAATACACATATACACACAACTCAAGATTCAAATATATGTATATAAACATGTATGGATGTATCTACCTACTGGACCTATATCACTTTTATGCTAGCTTTGCTCTTTCAAAGGTAAGAGTAAGACACAAAGATGCCTTTTATATAAAGAAATAGTGAAAAGTCTTTGCTTGCTCTCAGATTCCCTACTGTTTTTTCTACTAGAGAGTCAGCCTATTAGATCACCATGAACTGGAAGTTTATAGGGATTCATGCCTAGGCTTAGCATGAATTTACAGTCCTTTGATGTACTAGCAGAGTTTACTACTGCTGCTACTTACTATAGCAATTATCCATAGTTTTAGCTATTATACTAACTTTTATTCTTTAATCTTCCCCAGGAGGGGGGAGGGGGTAGCCACATAAGCAGATGGATTAAGAAAAAGGTGGCAAGAATATTACTCTCTTAGATCTACTAGCTGAATATTAAAATCCACCACGGAACTAATGACATTCATACCTATTCTTAAACACCATCTTACAGCACAAGACGCTGCATTCTAATTGGAAAACAATAAATGCCTAAGCATTCAAAATCACAATTTTTAATAGTCACCTACTATTTATCCAGAAAGACTGTTGAATACGATATTTTAATTAGATTTCTGATATATATGGAATTACTAATTTTACAACAAAAATTATAACTTCAGATATTATTTTTAATGATTTAAAAAAAACTTAAAATTTTATTAGCTACTGCTCAAGATTATTTGAATATCACTAACACAGTGCCATAGAAAATGTTCTCATGTGAGCATTCAATCTGTTTGAATTTATAGATATACAAGATCTAGTATTCTAGTCTATCCTATAAAAATAGTATATTAGTATTTTTTGTCTCAATTTATAATTTTACAAATAACCATATCACTTAGGTGATAACTAAAATCAGCAACTTCTGCCACAGAAGACCATAGCTCCCTTCAGCACCTGTCACGTTATATGGCTATTATCCTATTTTTACAAAACTGTTTCCCCATCAGGGCACAAGTTCTTCCAAGGCAGCAGTGATGTCTTCTGTATCTTTATATTATTAGAACTAGCAAAATATTCAACTCATATTGAATAGATAGACCCTGAATAGGTACCTGAAGAGAGTAAGAGTATGTGAAAAAAAAACCAGTATGGGCTTGCTAAAGAAGAGAAGCAGAGGTTGAAAGAGAGCGAAAGCAGTGAAAGAACAGAGAGAACGGGGCATAAGAGACGGTGCCTCTAAGAGGGTGTGTGTAAACAGGAAAGGGAGAGATGAGAGGAACTGCCCAGGAAAGGAAGAGGTCAGGGAAGGAGAATCAGTGAAAGAAGGAAACGGAGACTGAGAGGGGAGAGGAGGAAGAAATAGAGCTGAAGAGGTTAAGAGAAGAGGAGGAGAGTCAGAAAAAGCCTGAGATAAACTCTTCAACAGTAAGGAAAAAGAAAGAATAAGAGAAGAAAGGTATGGGGGTGCCTAGGAGAGGATGAGAGAGAATGAATATTAGGATGAGAACAAAAGAAAGAGAGAAAATAGTAAAGACAGATGAAGAAATATGAAAGCACGTTCTGGGCCCAGCACAGTGGCTCATGCCTGTAATTGCTGTAATTGTAGCACTCTGGGAGGCCAAGGCAGGTGTACTGCCCTGAGCTCACAGGTTCAAGACTAGCCTGAGCAAGAGGGAGACCCCCCTCTCACCCCTAACCCCCATCTCTTAAAAAAAAAAAAAAAAAGCCAGGCATTATGGCAGGCACCTGTAGTCCCAGCTACTCAGGAGGCTAAGACAAGAGAATTGCTTGAGCCCGAGAGTTAGAGGTTGCTGTGAGGTATGACACCATAGTACTCTACCAACGGTGGCAAAGTGAGATTCTGTCTCCAAAAATAAAAAAAATAAAAAGAAAGCACATTCACAGGGGAAAGGGAGGGAAGCAGAGAAAGATGGAGAAAAATAATAAAGAAAGAAAAAGAGAGGGAATAGAAGGGAAAAAGGGATGGGGAAAAGAGAGAAAGAGGATATTGGCCCTGAGGTCTACTTACATGTAAGTATAATTACACTGCAAAATGTTCCATGAGCTTAAAAAGGTAAGCACTCATGCAGTATAAAATCTAGTGCTTTCCTCAATCAGAAACGGCAAAAGGCAAATTCTGCCTCTAAGATGATCCAATATAGTCCCTTGCATTAACATCCCCTCCAAATATTTGATTATTTGTCCAAATCAGCAGAAGCATCGGAAGTATTTTACATAAAAGCAGAGCCAAAGAAGAGAAGTAACATAAAACCCTATTAGGAAATAATTTTAAATAAATTGACAGCAATGTATCCTTTCAAGAAGAAAAAGAAAGAAACATGACTTTTTTTTTTTTTACACTAGCACTTTTTATTCTTTAAAAAAACCCCAATAGGTTAAGAGTTGAGAAATTCCCCTATATGTAACAATCTCACCGAAATGTTTTTGGTAAAATCAAGATGCCCTAACCACCAAGCAAAAGAACTACAATGCAAATAAACGTACATGTTTGAGATTCTACTTACGTACTGTTCAAAAACAGGCAAAACTAATCCATGAAATTATGACAGTGGTCACCCTGAGGGAGGTAGGTGGGAAGGAACCAGAAGAGGCATGAGCAGTGTTTCAAAGGCTCGAGTTACACAAGCGTGTTTAACTTGTAAAAAGTCATTGAGCTGAAGATTAGAATATTTTTCTATGTATCTTACAGTTCAATAAAAAGATTTTGTAAAAGTCTTACCCATAAGAGAAAGCATCATTATCTCTCCACTTTGAAATAACAGAAGCTGCCAAGCCAGCCAAAATGGCAGTGCTATCGAAAAACATGTGAAAAGAGTCGGAAATCAAGCCTAAGCTGGAAAAGAACAAACAGATTGGCATATTATAATAAAAACCAAATAGTAGACATCCTTCTCTAAATATCTAAGATTCAGCGTCTGTTCATCAGAAATTAACCTTCTAAAAAGACAACGTTTATATATAACATGTAGAAAGAGATCCAGAATAATTTTTATTTATTTATTTATTTTTTTGCAGTTTTTGGCTAGGGCTGGGTTTGAACCCACCACCTCCAAGATATGGGGCCAGCGCCCTACTCCTTTGAGCCAGAGGCGCCACCCTAGAATAATTTTTAAACACCTAAAATTTTTAAACACCCTCTGCACAAGGAAAGACCCAGCTGCTGCTGGTAGAGGCAAAGCCATCTGCCTCTGGGTAAAAGCTAGGAATTTCCCCACCCTTCGGTCACCTGTAAGGTCCACTGCCACTAAAAGAAACGTAGAAAAAAACAGCCATCTCCAACTGCAGACAGGCTGAAAAACTAAACTTCTTGGGCCCAAGATCAAAGTAAAGTTTTGCTATTCGTGGGTGCCCAGCTCTTCCCTCTTGATACTGTGCACCAGGCTGCAGCTGGTGGGGACAGGCAAGGACAGCAGGAAGGTGTAGGACACTCATTCTCACCCTGTATCACTTCCCCCACCAAGCCATGAAGAAAACATAGGCAATAGCAGTCTGCCAGTGAGAGCACAGAGGAAGATGTGCAGGACTTGCTGAAAGGCTGAGAGCGGAGCCAGAACCCTGAAATGGCCCTCCAGCCCACCAAATCCCACACTAACCAAAGGGCAGTAAGAACCACTGGAAAAATTTGAAGCTCATGGCTTACTGAAATTAACTAGCAACAACAAAACAAAATATCCAGTTCAAGTTTTTTTTTTTTTTTTGGTTTGAGACAGGGTCTAACTCTGCTCCCCAGGCTAGAGTATAGTAACTCTATCATAGCTCATTGCAGCTTCACACTCCTGGGCTCAAGCAGTTCTCCAGCCTCAGCCTCCTAAGGAACTAGGACAACAGGTGCATACCACCACAACCAGCTAATCTGAAAATTTTTTCTGTAGAGATGGGGATCTCACTAGTCCCCAGGCTGGTCCCAGGCTCCTAGCCTCAAACAAGCCTGCAGCTTCGGTCTCCCAAGTGCTAAGATTACAGGCATGAGCCAGCACCCATGGCCCCAGTTCAACTATTAAACATTTTTTTTTCATTTCTTTCTTTTTTTTTATTAAATGATCGTTATGTACATTTAATGCAATCATAGGGTCTGTTGAACATTTAAATTCAAAACTCCTAATGGCCACAATGATATTATGAAATAAGATTATGAAAGCAATCATAACATTACAGATCAGTCTTTAAAAATAAACTTCTGGGCCAGGTGTGGTGGCTCACACCTATAATCCCAACACTCTGGGAGGCCCGAGGTAGGTAGATTACCTGAGCTCACAGGTTCAAGATCAGCATGAGCAAGAGCAAGACCCCCATCTCCAAAAATATCCAGGCATTGTGGTAAGGAAGAGTCCCAACTACTTAGAAGGCTGAGGCAAGAGGATCACTTGAGCCCAAGAGTTTGAGGTTGCTGTGAACTATGATGCCACAGCACTCTACTGAGGATGACAAAGTGAGACTCTGTCTCAAATACATAAATAAATAAATAAACTTCCTAAGTCAGAATACCTGGGTTCAAATACCAGCTCTACATTTATTAGTTCTGTGACCATCGCACTGCCTAACTTCTCTGTACCTCTATCTAGCCTACAGTTAAGCAGGGGGATAATATAAAAGCCTAACTTCTCTGTACCTCTATCTAGCCTACAGTTAA